ATGACTCCAGGACACTGCAGCCGTCATAAATGTGAATCAGTTGTCAAGCCTCTGAATGTAAATCACGTGACCATGGGGATGCTGCAATGGTCAAGTGTGAAAAATGGTCATGTCACTTTTTTCAGCGATATTGTAACTTCAAACAGTCACTAAACGAACTGTTGTAAGTCAAGGACTACCTGTACTATTTCTAACTGTCTCAGGAAAAAATGTAGCATTACAAAGGAGGAGGTTCTTTGATTAGTGGCATTCCTTCATTCGAGAGCAGTGCATCGGAATTTCATTTCAATGTGTGCCACTGGGTACACAGGACAATGACAATAAAGGTTATCTTAATTTTTAAAATGTAGTTTTTTCTGAAGTGATAGTAAATGTTGGGAGCATCTTCAATTATAATCATGAAACCAAAGTAGAAAGGGTTTTACCGATCTCTCTGTATTATTTTCCCAATGACAATTAGAGCGCCTTATCATCACCAAGCTCCTACTTTACAGAAACTTTACACATACCCTTAGGATTCATCTGAGATTTCCTCACTTGCAAAATTCATTCATTTGTATGTGATTGGAAGCAAATTGGGTGTTGATGTAGAACTCTAGAAGATATCTTCCTATCTACTGCAGAAGCGTTGATTTCATTGAGTGCTACATCAGGGTTGAGTTTGACCTGGGGGGGAGCGTGGCATGGCTAGGGGGGGGGGCATGGCCAGTTCAACGTCACTCGTGTGATCAAATGCCACTTTTGCTAGTAGTTGTTTTACTAGTACTCTGCCAGCAAAAAAGGAACTCAGGAGGGGCATGCGACACCCTCCCGGGATCTGTTTTCGGCTGCAACAGCCTCCTGCAGCCCTCTGCCAGTGAAAACGGAGCTTAGGAGGGTCCGTTTTCACTGGCAGAAGCACTGCGAGCCGGTCGTTCACTGTTTCCAGAGCAGCCCCACGGGCCAGATCTAAGCACCCCGTGGGCTGGATCCAGCCTGCAGGCCTTGAGTTTGACACCCCTGATCTACTGTTTTATGTATTTCTAGGTTTTATTTACAAACATGACCTAATCTGATCAAACCCACTTTTTGTAAATATTAGGACTAAAAATCCATGGTGAGAAGCTAGGGATCCTAGACCTGCTCTTTATTATGCTTCCCACTCCAAATATTCACAGGAGATCCTTATTACGACTCTTTCACATCAGGTCTGAAAAAAAAATGCTACTGTCAGCATCTAGCTAGCTAACGGCTCACAAGTCGTCATGATGTTTTATCTACTTTTTCGAATGCCGTAAAGTATTGGATATAGTCTGGAGACTATTGAAGACTCACAAATCACCCTGATCTTAGTGGAACCTGAGCACTTTCATATCTTATAGCTTACTCTCACTTGAACTTACGTCAAGATAGCTGTTCAGCAGCCCTTCTTATTTTAGGCCATGCACTAATTCCTTTTCGATGTTGACATAGAGCTAACCTACAGATTGCGAAACTGCATTGACACTGAATTTTGTACTCCCCCTCCCTCACTAGTGTACACAGTGTCCAGTTGTTGTCATCTCTTTATCACACTGCATTGCAACTGGATCACAACAGTAAATTATCATGGGCACAAAGATATAATCTTTCCATGGTGACACTAAGCCTTCCTAGAAATTTATGACTTGGAGAAAAATGATCTCCATGCTTTTCTCTTACCATGTGATTTTGTTTTAAGAGATGTTAAGTTTGGCTTTTATACTACCTCACTGGCTATCATAATTAGGAGTGGAAAGAAACTTTTCTTTCTTGGTGCTCTTATGATTCCCTTACTTTCCCCTTTTTGTACTTGGTTTACAACAGTGGTTTGCACTGTAATTTTCCAGGCATTTATTTAGGATAGGTTTTCCCAACCCTATACCTTCTGAAACTATCAGCTAAAATCCCCCCCTAGTATGACCAAAGGTAGCATGTGGCTATGATTGCATATGGTCAGGAAATGTGTGAATCCAAGGAAAATCTACCAACTATTTGCCTTAATTTGTGAAATTAATGAAACTATTGCAGATTATTAACTGTCCAATGTAATGCATATCTTTTTAGATGAGTTTAATTGGACGTCCATAAAATTAAGCATAAATGAAATAGAAATGAAAAAGTGAAATTCTATGCAGATTCTATCTATCTGTCTATCTGAGTATGTTTTACTGAGTTTAAAAAGACAAGATGTTGGTCTCGATATATAGGATAAAATAGTCAAACATCTGCCGGATTTCTTAAGCTATTTGGGTTTTGTAAAATATATGTTGTGTTAAACATACTTAAATCTTCCCTATAATTATCAAGTACAATTTTTCTTTTTCCATAAAAATCTTTTTAGTCCTTTTGACAGCTTAGAGGTAACTGAAGTTGCAGTATTTCCATAAGTTATTACTATGATACAAGCGAAGGCAAGAAAGATATTGCGGCATCCAAATCACTAAATATGGCTACTAATCTAACAAATAAATAGGTCAATATTGGTGCTGTAAGATATTTCTGAGCGCTCAAGCATCATCAGATAACAATTGTGTGACTGCAAAATAGTCAGAATTTCTATATCTCTTTTCTGCCATCTATTGGTCACCTGGATCTTTGCAGCCCAGATTTAGTAATCTTGATCATTACAGAGAGAGACAATCTGCCCATCCTCAAACAGAAAATTCTCTGAGAGCTGAGTTCTACTACATGAATATAATAATTCACATAAAGTGATTAGAAAATCTTAAAAGTAACAACAGAAATAAACACTATTGCTATTATTTACCAGGCCAAAGCATCCAAATTGTCTTAAAGCTTTATAATAAATAAACAAAGAACAGTTGATTTGTTCTAAGTGAGGTATTTTATAAACCCAGTAGAGGAAAAGATCAATATATGTCACTGCATGTTTTGCATATGCTGATGACTGTCATTGAGTAAGCATTACTTAGTTTTTAAGGCAAAGATCCTTTGGGGAAGAAAATTAAAACTGAAGTCTCAAGAGGACCTCCAGTGGGCAAATTTAGGAATGATCTTGGCCTATACACAATCTTGACCACCTGATTCAATGTAGATTTCAAAAGCTTAGGGATCAGTCTGGAATTGCACAATTCTGCTGCTTTATGCACAGAGTTTTACAAATAATCTAAATTTCATATTACACGTTTAAGTCCATACACCTTAAAGTTATTGATGTTGAGAAACACTGCCCAAGGAGAGACTTTGGGCACACCATTTAGATACAACCCAGCAAGTTAAATTTATGTTATTTTGTGATGCCTGAACACATTTAATTGCATTTCATTTGATATAGGGCAGGGGTGTCAAATGTCATTATGACGTTGTCACGTGACATATCACAACTCCCCCCCCCTTTGCTAAACTGGGCATGGGCATGGCCAGCGCTTGATGCATTCGGCCGTGGGCTGCGAGTTTGACACCCCTGATATAGGCCTTGCAAAAATTAGAGGGAGATGTGGTGGCTCAGCGGTTAAGATACTGGGCTTATTCTGGCAGCCCAGGTTCAAGACCGGAGCTCTACATGACAGGGTGGGCTCCCATCCTTGTCCCAAACTGCCAAACTAGCAGCTCGAAAGCATACAAATGCAAGCAGATAATAGATACCACTTCAGAGAGAAGGTATCAGTGCTCATGATGTCACGCTGACTCCATGATGTCATGCTAAAATGTGATTTCCCCCCCCTTATGTTTAATTGTGTCTCATTCTTGAAGACACCAAAGCCAAGTATAAATTCAATACTCATTGGATTGAGTACCCAGTCATGCTCATCAATGAGAACATAATAGTGGCAGTTTTGAGTTATACTTTTCTAGCTGAACTCAGTTGGAATGTCTACCTAGCATTCTCAGAAAAGAAAGAAGATCCATAGGAAATAAGATGACAAAGAAAACATAGCATTGCATGAATAAATTAAGAAGACATGACACATATATCCTAAATGCCTGGTTTGGAGGTATCTCAAATGTACGGTCACTGAGGCAGTTTTTTTGTGCTCCTACTGCAAAGCAAAAGCTGCCAGCTTACTCTTAAAAAAAACCGAGGCGTGCTTTCAGTAGGATGCCTGATGACTGCAGTTTTGCAATTTCCTCAGAAGCATTTTGGAAATGATTTGTTGTTCCTCACCTCCAGGAGATTTTCTGACTTTAGCCTAGTCTAGTGCAAAGTACCAAGCAGGGATCTTATTGCTTAACTTTCTCAGGATTATCCAAGATTGGATAATTGCTATTTTATGAAGCAAGTCTTTCCAGCAAAGTTTTTTGGGGGTTGAGCCCTCCTTTTTCAGCAAGGACTGATGAAGGATTTTCATTCGGGATTAAAGGATGTCACTTCTCCCAGCTCCTGATGCCCACTTCCTTCTGTAAGAAATGGGAAAGCTTTTGAATTTCCAACTCTCTAAAAATGCTTTGCTAGTATCAAAAGCCTTTCCAGATGCTTGTTCATTTTCTGGGCTAATGTAAAATATCTTGACATCCCCAGCCTCACAAAACAACGAAGAGGCATCATTCAAAAGAACGGTGATGACTTTCAGGGTACACGTTGAGTAGAAAATACACTGCTCAAAAAAATAAAGGGAACACAAGCAGAAGACATCCGAGATCTGAATGAATGAAATGGCCTTATTAAATACTTTCTTCGTTACATACAGTAGTTTTGTGTTCCCTTTAGTTGTTTGAGCAGTGTATAAACTACTGTATGTAAAGAACAAAGTATTTAATAAGGTTATTTCATTCATTCAGATCTCGGATGTCTTCTGCTTGTGTTCCCTTTATTTTTTTTGAGCAGTATATATTTGTACAAAGCTAACCTGGTGCAAAGGTGAAATGGTGCCCAGATAAACTGCACCTCTGCCATCACTTGTTGTGGCACCCAGATTTGTGGTTGTGCTCAGTGGGTGCCTGTTTACAGTGAGCGCGGGGCAGGGGGAGGGAGGAATACTAGAGAAGAAGAGGGAGATGTATTAGCATCCCAGATAAAAACATCAGAATTAAGCACCAACCTGTTATAATGCTTGGATGCAATCATATACCTTAGACAACCCACGTACAACGACAACATTTTGGAGCTAACACGACGACGGTGATGCTTTAAGCCACTACGTAGTGCGTAAATGGCCCTAACAACTAAACTGCATGATGGCCTGGATCACGTGCGATAGATACCAGAGACACTTTTTATAGTAGCAGCTGCACTGGTAAGTGGTTCAGATCTGGGGATTACGAAGAGAGTAAGTTCCGTTTCCGGAACGAAATCGAAGAGAACTGCTGTTGCTACCTTCCTCTTTATTTATTTAGACCGCCTCTTCCCCATCACCCCACTCCATTAAACTGCCAAGAAGCAGCGTGTTACCGCCTTTGATGTTTTCGAAGACTTAAAAGCCTGCTTTGTGACGTAGGCACAGAACCTCCAACTCGTACGTCGATTGGCTAAAGGGAGCGGAGGCGGATACAGAACGTTGCTGTTTGTGTTTAAACGTTCCAGCGGGAGGGTGGGGTGAAGAGCATGAAATAGGAGTGTTTTTTTTTTTTTTTGTGGGGTGTTGTTGTTGTTTTTTTCTTTGGGGCGGTGATCAATTCCCCGATCGGAGGGAGAGATCCCGCGGAGCAGCTTGGATTGAAAGGCGATTCGCGATGGTGCCGTCGCGGTGCGTGAAAAGCGAGTACATGAAGTGCTTTAAAGAGCCGAAATGGGAGGCGTGCGGTCCCTGCTACCAGGAGTTACTGCGCTACCGCCTGAGTCGACGCCTCTTAGAACAGGCGCATCGGCCTTGGTTTTGGGACGATTGGGAGCAGGACAGCAGCCTGAACGGAAGCAGCGGCAGCTCCCCATCGTCCCAGGGCACTTCCAGCCCTCCAGTTGTCCGGCAGGCAGAAGAAGAAGCGGCGCATCCTGCAGGGGAAATCGAAGTCCCCGGCGGCGATCTGGATCTCGATAGGATCAGCGCGCCCGGAGAGGATGTGACTTCCAGTCCGGAGTTGGCAAAGCCCCCCGGCGGACCCGGTATGTGCTCCAATGCCTGGGGAATGAAGGATGGGCCGGGGTGGTGGGATGCCGGTAAACGTCTGTTGGGAGTGACTCAGTGGCGTTAATTCAGTCGAGGCGGTGGGGTTGAGCTTTGGGTTCCGCAGCTCAGGGCTCTCTCTCTGCTAGGCCTTCAGTTATTAAGAGAAGCAAAAAACAACAACAAAAGCCGCGATCCACAGCAGAATCGACCCGGGTCCCTCGAGGGACCCTGCATTTGCCTTAAGGCAACCAAAGCGGTGGATCCGAGGGCAGGTGGAATCGAGCTGCTGACAGGCGAGGCTCGAACCGATTTAAAAAACAAGGGCAGTACTCTATGTACAGTATAGGCAGGCAAAGAGATAAAAACAACCCCGACTTTTCCTTTCCGGACGCAATTTGTCCGGATTTTTTATTATTATTATTTTTTTTTGCAGCCCCTGATGCAACCTCCTGCGCCCCTGGAGAATACTCCATCCATCGCCGCTACCCCTCGTCCCCGAGAGCCGCTCGTGTGCCGGGTACCAGAGCAGCTCTGCTCCCTCGGGTGAGGATGAGCGGGGTTGAGAGAGCGCTCCCCAAGGCTCTGCAATGACCTTGAGCGGATCTCTAGGCCGCTTTTTTTGCTTCGGGAAGACAGGCTGTCGGGCGGTCGGTTTGCCTGTGAATGGGGGCCGCTGGGAAGCCAGTTGGCCCCAAGACTCGCTTTCAGGGGCTTCCCTTCGGGCAGAAGAGCTGGACCTCCGTTTCTGAAGCGGGAGCCGAGTTTTTAATCGGCCGAATTGCGAGGGGGCGCGATTCGCTTTACGCTCTTTCGTGCAGGGCTGTTGGTAGGGAACCGGTAGGCATAAGGACCCAGCGGCCTTTCCGGCTTTCTTTTGACGTCTGTCTCTTGCCGCTGAGCGCGGATTATGGCCGAGTTCTCCTATAATGAGAGAAGCCATCTGGCAGGGAACGGGGCGAAGGCGGACCCGCCTTTTTTTTTCCCGCAGGACGTTGCTTCCACACCCCACCTGCAGGAACCCGACTGGTGGGAAGGAGGCTGCTCTGGCCTGCGAGGTTGTGTGGGAAAGCTTTTTTTAATCCATATGGTTTGGGTGACCTTATTGCAAGGTGGCAGCTGGCTGGTTTAGAGATCTAATCACCCAGGGATGAACTGCTAAACTTTGATTTCCTTCCCTCATCCTTTAATTTTTTTGTTTGAGCTTCAACCCTAATTAGGATCCATTTCTTTCTCTCTCTCTCTCTGCCCCTTCCCCTCTCTGTGGAAGGAGAATATGTGGGTAAACAGTTCTGGCCTTGTATTTGTTGCTATGTATTTCAGCATGTTCCTGAACTTTAAAGATCTTTCTTCAGCATAACTGGTCTGTGCTTTGTAGATTAAACACTGTCAAATTTGAGTGGTAAAACAAGCTTCCTTTAAAGGTAAATAAAAGGTAAGCCCGTTGCTTTCTCTAAGCCACAAACTAACCATAACTAACCCAACAGATTGACTGCTCTGAATCCAAGCTGGGTGCGGATCAGGTTTTGAAAGCAATTAGTGCTAAAATCAATAGGTTTACTTGTGTCTAACTCTTAGCTTGGTTGACTTCCAGTCTCCAGAATTTATCAATCTTAAAACAAGATGGAACTCGCATTTATTTCATATGTTTGACAATGCCATCAGCACAGAATCTTCTCAGGGCAGCTTACAACAAATGCAATCAGTGCACTCATAGTTAGAATTAAACATCATAATGTGAAATCACATATTTCATAAACAATCACCTGCAATTAATTTGAAATATATTTCAATCTATCATGTTTCATCAGAACATCTAACAGCTATTTGAAACTCTTCAAAGCCAGCCTCATAGTATCATGAAAAGAATAAATAGATAATAGTAATAAAATAAGTATCCTATTTTGAAACTCAGTCAAATGACTATCCTTCATATAGAGGGATAAACAACATCAAAGAAGTTAGCAGAAGAGCCAAGTATTTATCAGTTTACCTCATAGGCTCCTGACAAAGCCAGACTATGACAGCCTACCTTTGACTAGGGAATTCATGGTCTCTGAAACCATTTCCATGCTTTGCAAAATTGACAGCACAATTTCCCACAATTTGGGAAACATCTTAAGTGTAGCCCTTTAGTCTGCTTAAAATCTCTCAAAACCTAGAGGAGAAAACCCTAAGAAATCCCAATGTTGTCTCATGCATGCCCCTAAAATAATTCAATGTGCTGTTCGGCTGCCAAAATATTGTTCACCATGGTCTCAAACACGTCTTTGATTGGCCTTATTAACAGAAATCCCACCCCCTTGATGACTCTCAGTATATTTTCTGGCTCACTTGGAATTATATTAGCTGTAAGAGTTGTGGTGGCTCAGTGGTTAGACTGCAGTACTGCAGGCCAATTCTACTGACTGCCAGCAGTTAGATGTCACTGGCTGAAGGTTTACTTAGACTTCCATTCTTCTGAGGTCGGTAAAATGAGGACCTAGATTGTTGGGGGAAATATCCTGACTCTGTAAAACGCTTAGGGGAGGCTGTAAAGCACTATGAAGTGGTATAATTGTCTAATTGTCTAAGTCTAACTGCTATTGCTATAGGTCCACTCAAAGTTTAGCTTCAGTCCATCTGTGAAATACATTGTCGAGACTAGCACTTACTTTGCTGGCAAATAGAAACCGATTTTACAAACAGGCTCTGAAATGCTAATATTATGAAATATGGTTCTCTTTCCATAGAAACTGCAAAATAGAACAAATGGAAGACACATGTACAATTGATAATGGCATATATGATTATAAATGATAGTAGGCAGAATGATCACTGGGCAAATTTTCAATATAGTGTTGCTAATTGTTTAAGGATGATATTATATGATACTGGCTTAGATGATCCTTAGTCATCTTGCTGATGTCAGACTGATACCATGGCCATTATTATTTTTCTAATGTTAAAACTGTTGTTTAAGTAACCTTCTGTTACTCCCAATTATATGACTGAAGTGTAGCCTTCCCCATAGGCTTTCAATAATAAGAATCACATTTATACAACATATACTCAACAAGTGCAGTAGATTCTCAGATAAGATTGGTGATTTTCGAACTGAAACACAGCTTGCTGCTTATGTAAGTCATTGCCATGGTAGCATGCATTTTAAAAGTTGCATAAGCTTTTAGATGCCAGCCAAAAATAAGCAGGATTTGCAGATTTTTCTGGCAATTGTAAGAGCCCCAAATGGCAGAGATGGAAGAGACACTTTTTTTCTCACACAGCACAATCTGTGGTCCCTCCTGATCTGCTGCCTGCTTGGGGAAAAGTACTGGAATATTGTATGACCATTTCTGGATGTCCTTCCTTTGCTGCTACAGCTTTACTGTTTGGTTTAGAATCGGATCTAACTCTGGTTCACTTCTCCATTCGACTATGAGGTTTGGGACAATAATATTTCTCAGACTAACCTATCTCACAGGATTGTTGGGAATTAAAGAAAATGGGAGGGATGACCAAGTGATTGAGAGCCACGGTGACACAGTGGTGAGAATGCAGTACTGCTGATTGCCGGCTGCCTGCAATTTGGCAGTTCGAATCTTACCAGGCTCAAGGTTGACTCAGCCTTCGTTCCTTCCAAGGTTGTTAAAATGAGGAGCCAGATTGTTGGGGGCAATATGTTGACGTTGTAAACCACTTCAAGAGGGCTGTAAAGCACTGTGAAGAGGTATACAAGTCTAAGTGCTATTGCTATTGTCTCCTTGGGAAAGGGAAATTAAATGAACGAATAGGATGCAAACAGCTATTTCTCCTAAGGTGCAAATGTGGCATAAAAGAGAGTTAAAAAGGGCCACCTTGCATTCTAAGTCTGCAATGGCTATAAAGAGGGAACTGCTTCCTTCAATTCCAAATCAATCAAAAGAGTCGGGCTGCAAAAGTAGACGGGATTCATTCATTGTGTGCACTTTGGGCAGGCTAAAACAACGTTCACTTGTCATTTTCTTCCCAGAGGTTGACGTTCAAGAACAATCGGGAGGGAAGGCTATTGTCAAGAAAGATGAAAGGAAAACTGCAGGGAAAGGAATCGACAGCTCAAGTTGTCCGCAAAAGCAGCCTTTGAGTCAGAAGAGTGCCTCCGGCAGGCAAAGTGACAGAAAAGGAGCAAAAAACCCACAAAGGACAGAAACAACATTGGGAATAAAGCACCCATTTGCTTTGTATGGTTGGGGTGAAAAGCAGACTGACACAGGCAGTCAGAAGACACACAACGTCCGGGCATCTGCCTCAGTAAATGAAGTAAGCGAAAGAAGTATGTGTTTTAGGAAGATACTGGCTGGGGAATTCTGGGAATTGAAGGCCACCCATATTAAAGGTGCCAAGTTTGAAAAACACTGGTCTAAATATTTGGCTTTATGCTAGCCCTGTGTTAGGCAGGGTATTTGCCGTCCAAGATGAACTAGCATTTTGCTGCTTCCCTGCCTTTGTGCCATGGGATGCTGAACACAGTCAGATGTAAACTTTTTTTAAATAAAACTTTTTTTTATTGTGTTACTTATTGGATAGGATATCTAGGACATGTGGATCTATGTTTTGGATTGTTCCTCTCATATTGAGGTTCCTGTGTCTGAAGCTACTTTGTACCCCTGATTTATAAGAGCAGGCCCACCTGTATCCAAAGCCACTCACACCAGAAGATGGAAAAATCTTTGGATGTGGTTTTGCCTGTCCTTTTGACCTAGATTCACTTACTTGTTTGCTGCCTTTGCACTTGTCTAGAGTAACAATGCCCATGTTAGCTTTTTGCTGGCCCATTATTCCAGTGTGAAAAGAATTTTATTTTAATTATCAAGGGATTAATAATACTATTCTTATAAAATTAATAATCATAGGAAATACTTTATTCCAAATTAACTTTATTTCTCTCACTGTCTCAGCTATCCCTTAACCATTAACCCAAATCCATGATCCACTGAGACCAGAAATTATGTGAAATACCTTGTTAACAGTAGATTGCTAAATGGCACCTCTGCTAAGTTTATCAATTGAGAATAGCAAAACCAAACACCAAAATCAAGTACCTGGACAAGAGTAATTGATCAGACAAAAAACCTGTTCAGTCATACTTCCCCACACCTTTAAACCAGGCTGCCCAGACACCATCTACACAACAAAAGCAAACCAATAGACACCAGAAAAGACAAATAAAATTGACCTTTTGACAGTCAGATTAGAACCAGCACATGCACACACCATTGCCGCCGCCCCCCCAAAAAAAGTCACACCAAAGACCAGTCTCCACTATATCCCATTTTCTCTGTAGCTGCCCACAGGAGCAAACCTCTTTGCTTTTGGGAATAAATGGATCACCTCCTTTCCACCACCAGCAGGCTTTGCATCCTGTTTGCTTGCAATATCCAATCTCGGAAAAGGGACCTGGAAGTTCTTTTAACATCAGATTGCCTGCATTTTTGTTGTTGTTTAAGATTGCTGCCATTTTTGAAATGTCTACAACTTGAAATTAAGATCCTTGTTTCCATGGCCCATAGCAATGTAGTAAATTGGGTATAGGGGACTGAAAAACTATTGCCTTGGTTATGGGGCAAGAATTTCCTGTGCCAAACTTGCTTTCCCTTCAAAGGGGTAGGATATATTTTTAAAGAGGATGATTTGATGGACTCCAACTTTTTGGGAGCCAAATGGTTTTCGTTCTCTAAATCTGTATTTATTTTTAAATTATGATTCCTTTTAAAAAGAGCTTCTCCCCAGGATAGTTTGGAAATAATAGCCTTGCTGGATCATATCCAAACCTATCTAATTCCTGTTCCCCCAGTGGCAAGCCAGTTCCCATGGGAAGCCTGCAAGCAGTATCTGGAAGCCTGTTAATGTGCTTGATACGGGAGGCATTGTCTTGCCCCAAAGGAGACACTCTGAAGACATAACTGATTGTTTCCTTGGGCTGTTATGTTAACATGTCTGGGTTAATCATAACACTGTGGTACAAAATGGGACGCTAAATCCTTGTTTCTTGTTGATTCTGGTTTAATGAAAAGTTTTTGTTTTGTTTTCTTGGCTGCCATTTCAGTGCTGCTGTGGAAGGAACTCTCGATGCTAGAATTATGACTTAGCCCCTATCAAAATCAGCATAAGATATATGTAAAAAACAGCAGTCAGGATGAGGATGAGACAGGATGAGCGCAAGTTTAGGAATGGCACAAAGCATTGAAGTGCTGATGACGCCACCTTGATAGGAACTTGAGTGCCATTGAGAAGCTGTAAGTTCTTGCAAAATAATGTTACTGTACTTCTGAGAGCATTGTGAAGAAAAGAAAGAAAAAAAAACCTAACACAAACTATATAGCGATTAAACCTCGTATGTATGCTAGCTTAATCAACTAAAATTAATAACAGCATGTTAAGTAAAGATTAAGTATAAATGAACTTGAACCTATTTCCAAAACTCCATGTGATATAATGGCAATTTCTGCTCAAGTAAAATTAGTGGTACCTATAGTAAGGCCTGATCAAAAGATATGCATTTTTGCTGTGAAGATGTGAGAGACTGTGTGGCAGAGGAGTACATTCATACAGTATTTATGAACAGAAAAGAAGGTATTTGTACAAAACAGCCAACCATATTTCAGCTTCATAGGTTCTGTAATGAATTACAGCAGCTTGTTGTCTCTGTTCTTCCTTTCCTATGAGTTAGCCTGCCCGCTAGGACATCTAATAACAATATTTTTTATGTTCATCCAAATTAGAAAACTTAATAGCTTGGAAACAAGAAGGAATATAAAATGAAATTGAAGTGAGTTGATTATATTGTTTTGTTATTTAGCTATTAACCACAGCTTTCTAATTTGGAAAACAATGGGGCAATACATGTTGTTAACAGAAGAGCTTCTTGATTGTAGTTGGCCTAGACCAAGAAGCAGATATATGGATGAAGAAATTCATATTTTGACTTATTAAGCTAAAATATGATTATCCAAGCATGCATATTCACTAAAACATCTTACTGCCTGAATAAAAGCAGAGCTATCCATAACTAAGATCTTTTGCACACCCTTAAAATATCAGTGGATCTTATTTGAGTAATGTTTCATAAAGTGCCCATGCCATATGTTTATACCTATTTGAAAAGCTAGTAAACAAGAATCGTATATGTTTTTGGTCCCGGGGCCAATCATAAATAAAAGTAAATACTATACTATGGAAATAGTCTATCAAGGAGTTGTAACTTGAATGCAAGGTAGGAAAGCCCCTTCCTCAATTCCTAATCTGGGAAAGCCAAGCACCCAAATAATAATATCTGAACTTCAGGGTGGACTCAGAAGCAAACTGTTCTCCTATAGAGTTCTGCAACTTTAAGGATTAAAATGTAGAGACAATTTGTGAACATAGATCCCAATTAATCACTGCCCCCCCCCACCATTTTTTTAATACCTAGCTGATATCTTATATATCACAGGTGTCAAATTCGATCATGTCACTTGACATATCATGACGTTTTTTGCCTTTATGGAATCAGGATGGGTGTGTCGTGAGTGTGATGCATCCAGGCCTGAAGGCCGCCAGGTTTAACAGGCCTGTTACATAGGCTTTCTGTTGCAACTCTTGGTTTGATTTATCAGCAGGTGACTGAAATCCACACTAGTGAAAAGTCACTTCATATTGATCAAAGGGAATCCAGCAAATTTGTTACTAGTTTTAGATAAGATTGGGAATTTAGGAACCAGTTTTGGCCATATAAAAGTATTGTTCTCCATAGTGTAGAAATGGGAGGTGCCAGGCTGGGATATTCTATGCTCTAGCTCTATGTCCTGAGTTGAAAACTTCTGAAGATCCGCCTCCCTGGTGATGTCTCTTCAGTTTTTTTCAACTCAGCCTAGCTCATGGTGGCAATTCCTTCAGCTCCTGAGCTGTGAGTTGAGCCATAGTAATATTTCCCTGGATTTTATTTAGATTTTTTTAAATTTTATTTTATTTTTAATTTTTTGAGTTGTGGTTCTCTTTCTCCTTTTTCCCTGCGTTTTGGATCTGCACTGCAGGTACTAACTAGTGTATGTTTATGGAGATTCTCAGTCATCCAGGTCATAGTTGTCCCAAAGGTGCTTTTTCAAAAGGCAATCGGACAGACCAGTTGCCTTTTGAAAAAAACACCTTTGGGACTAACTAGTATAATTTACTGTGTAATACATAATACAAGTAGAATCTAGTGTATGAAAAGAGTAGTTGGAACATGTACAAAGTAATGAGATGAAGTTTTTGAGTACTTTGGGATATAGCATTATTTTCTGCAGATTTTTAAAAATAGAAATAGATAATACTGGGTTCAGCAGCAAAAATATTGCACTTTAAACTGCATCCATCTCTTCCTAGAAGATTTTTTTTTTTAAAAAAATTTTTTTTAAGTGAAAGCAACATTGTTTTTCTTAAGGAAAATGGATAATACAGCTGAATTGTTCAGCAAGTGCAAGGTGCTAATTGCTTTTTTTTTTATTAAGGAAGGCAATGTTTGGATTAAGACAGAAGCCAGTCTTTCCTCGAGTTATTTTTGTTTCCAGTGAAAATTAATCTCTGTTAAGGCAAGGGCACCAAAACAAGTATCCTAGCACATAGTATTTTTTTAATGGTATTGCACTGATTTCATAATATTATATGTATTCTATATCAAATTAAACCATAAATTTTGTGCGCTTTTATCCAGATATCTGTGTGTCCAATGCTACTTTATAGGCACAGTTCACCTATTAATACTGTAGTTTTTAATTTTATCTTTATCTTAGGAACATATCTATTCAGCATGTTTATAGCTATGATTTCTGGACTTCTGGAATAAACAGTTCTTTTATTTTTCTGTTTAGCTCCTCTCATAATGTAGCTAAAATTATTAGTTATGATGCTGATAGGTCTTAATGATATTGCATATTATTTTGACAGGGAACTGTCCAGATTTGGGCGAAAGATAAATGGCTATATAAATGTTTAAAATAAATAAAAAAATAAAGCAATTAGGCAGTACCAGTAAATATTAACAGAAATCCTAGCATAGAATATCTATTGGTTGCGAAAAGCAGAATAGGGATACTACTTTGCATATTATGTGCAAATATTATGAAATAGGATTTAACAGTTGAATTTAATAAGCCACCTCTTACTGAAATATTCATAAAAGGAATCTATATAATGCAGTATTTTTCAAACTTGGCAACTTTAAGATGTGTGAAATTGCTGGCTGGGGAATTCCGGGAGCTGAACTCCACACATCTTAAACTTGCCAAGTTTGAAAAGCACAAATATATCAAAATTCCAAATTAGTATTTAGAAGACTGTTTGGGCGTGACTTTCATCAAGTGATTTCAAAGCTGTATTTTCTACAACCCTCCCTTCCCCATTTTTAAACTGTCTCTGCAGATACACGAATCTGCATTAAGAGCAAAGAACAGAAGACAAGTGGAAAAAAGGAAGCTACCACAAAGACGGATACACACAGCAGAAGTAGAAAGAACATGGAGAACCAAGCCTTCAGGTCCAGACAATCCATGGATGACAGAATACATGAGGTGTTACTCAGCACGAGCTCGGTGATTGGACTTCTAATTTTTTAAAAATTCAGAGTGCTTTGAAAACAACCAGGACACCAGTAGAAAACTCCAGACTATTATGCAAGGGTTTTCCATTTTTTATCAACGGGTTTTTCCAGCAGTTTGTTACATTTATTTATATTTTAACTACTTAACCTTTGCAGCAGTAGAAGATCCATACTGATGAGAACTATATTTAAGAATATAGGTCCCTTACTAGATTTATTTATTTATTTATTAAGGAAAATGTCAAGAATTGACCGTCGGCTGAAAAAACTAAAATTGAGTAATACATTTTTAAATAAAGCAAGTCAATATTTTCTTGAAACGGCTTTTTTCTCTATAGTTACTGAATTATACCAATCTTGTGCCAATAGAAAAGTGGTTGCACTAGAGTTACATTGAAAGCATCCAACTTTCAGTGCAATTTATTGTAAAACTAATCATGAAAATGTGACAGCAACGGATTTGTAAAGATTCGTTCTGGACAAATGAAGGTCTCATTAAATTATGATATGAGCTGATTGGCAATAATTTATAAAAGGACTGCACACTTTATAAATTAGCAGGTGAAAAAGAATGTTTTGTCGAAGGTGACAGTTGGATTCCTTAGAGACAACCCATTGTTTCCTCGCTGGAACAGCCAAAACGAGGTTTTCGCTTACCCAGCTTAATGAAATCACAATGTGGACTAAAAGACATGAGTTTTTGCATAGGTATCTGTAAAAGACTTGAAAATGTTAAGAGTGTTTTTAGAACAAGAAAAATCTCCTTTTCATAAATGTATAGTGACTTTTGAGGTTTCACATTCCTGCTGTAGATGTTGTGACCATACAAAATTGGATATTTTGGTGCAGTAGATTAGTAATATCCTGTGACTGTGGTTTGGAACATTTGCTATCATGAATCCATTGTACCAAATGACAGATAAAGACAATCGTTAACTATGATGGGCTAATGAGTAGTTCGTAGAAAGTAAATGGTTTTAAACTTTTTTTGTAGTAAAATGCTTCATTTTGAGCGAACTTAAAATACATTCAGTGAACAGTTTTGTTAGATAAGGCTTATGCACAGTGATTTTTATAACATTAAAACTCTGAATTTGTTTCATTTGCCTGCTTAATCAAGCTGGGTTATATTCTATGTCAAAACTCAGGTGGCATTGCAAATTTTGCTGTACTCCAATGTATCACACATTTCTGGGTTTTTTAAAGTGATTTTCTATAGAGGAAGAAGCCATTGGCAATCATGAAAGTGCAACATTAACTACCTGTGATTTTTAACTTTGAAATAAAAGATTTTTCAGTCTCAGTAACTGTTTCTTCAAATCTTGAAAAAAAAATTGGCTTTAAAGATACCGCAAGTGCAGATCTTTGTAAAACCTGTCATTAATCACCAACAGTAAAACTCATTTTTCAACTCATTTTTGCTCAGAACAAACTGTTCGTTCTGAAGAATAGGATATATTCATTATATTTAGATCCTGTCCTTTTTCCAGGAGCCAAGAAAAAGCCTGGATTCATTGCATTGATTTTCTATTCCCTTTCCCCCCTCTGCAAATTACCCTATGGGTGAGGGGCTGAAACTCCCCCGCCACAAAACAGGTCCAAAGTAATCTAGTGAGCTTCCAGTGTTGCGGAAATTGAAACTGCTTTCCATCCAACATTTCAACCATTATACTACAAATGTCATTTTACCTCTTCTATGGTTGCATATAGTGGCTTTATTTCCATCTATAGGTAGATGTAATTGAACTTTTTTTTGGAATGGTAATTTGTTTCCTCAATCTTTATAGTATTCCTTCAGTTTATCAAATTAATGAATTTGAACATTATGTGGCTTCATTATAAAACATCTACCACTCATGCATCAGAGAGAGACTAGAAAATCCTAGGGCTTGGAACAGTACCACAAAACCCATGCCCCAAAGGGCATCTTCAACACCAGCTTTTTGAGAATAGAACATGTACTATAACTATGCACTGCTGATTAGTGAGGAGAGAAGTTGGAACAGAAGGTAAAAAATATCTGGAGAAATAGAACATCAAGCGCCCAGCTGAACACTGTTTCAATCTGCTGATTAGATTTTTTTTTGTTTAATAAGCTTTAGTATGGGAACACGGTTATAAAATAAAGTGTGTAACTCTCTTTATCTAAATGCTGATTTATGCAGTTGTAGTTCTTCCAAACAGTGGGTCTGTGCAGCTTTTGATTGACAAATGCATGAACTTGCAAATGGCACTTTAATGTATATATCAACTATTCCAACAGATGTGTACTTTTGAGATAATGTGCCCTGTGGATATTTGCCTTTGTATGTACTTGTGTTTAAATATTTTCCCATATCTCAGTTGAACAATTATTCTTTTATTTAATGCATTTCTTACTCACTTTTGAAGAATGAAGTCTTCCTAACTGGAGCAAATGACCACTAATGAATGCTTCTTTTTCTTTCTCTTTCTTCACCATAGTAACGAGTGAATGTCTTTAATAAATTAAAGTTGCTTTTCCCCCTCAAGCTTCTCATGTGAAATCTTTTATATTTGCTACTTATGCTCTGGTAAGCCATAATATATAAATATGAACATATAGACTAGAACATTAACATTAGTGTTGGTTAAAATACAGTAGTAAATTAGGTAGATTTTAAGTGTCGAGAAGTTTCCTCTTGTGCCAACCTTAATACTAGCAGAAAAAATAACAGGATGTATATCCCTGCTGCTTGAAATACAGCCATTCTCCTCAAAATTGCTACAAAACTCCTTGCTAGGTGCACTCTCCCCCAGCTCTAGCTGTGGTGCCTGCTTCAGTTGGAAATCACTAATCTTAAACAGTAAATGCATTTAATGTGAAATATAGACATCTAAAATCTTTTGTTTATTCCAGAATGGCGTTAAAAATGAGCTGTATGGTTTTTTTTCTCTTAAGTGCATTGAGAATAACTGTGCCAGAGATAAAACGTTGTATGTATTGGCTCCTGGGAGTAGAGCGTACATTGTACTGACAATACTCCTTTCCATGTAACATCAACATTGGGAGGAATCTTATACGGGGCTGTATCAGTTTATGACGTAGGGTTAACTGGACCAGGATAATAGCATAGTCCTTCATGAAGCATAACTCAAAGTCAAACTACAGTTTGCAGCTGGGGCAGATTACTGAGTCCTAAGAGATGTTGATCAAGGGGAAGGCATTTGGCTGAAAGCCATAAATTTGACAGTCACTGTTTCTATGTGCAATCTAAAAAGAATGAAGGAGTAGGAAGGTTAGAAATCAGAGGTATATATATTCTCAATTATTGGGAGCACTGAAATCACTTTAAAGCCTGAAAAAATTAAGCTTGGAGCAATACGTGACTTAGAATGTTTCGAAATGGTATGTTTTTCTCATAGTTTTGTGGTCTTTAAATGTAACTGTACTCACCATGATTTTGAACATGTGAATAAAAATGACTTGAAAAATTCAAACAAATCACACGGCTGTATTTAAATTATATATGTCAACTATCTGACTATATTTGAGGAAAAAAACGTGCAAGGCTTCAAAAATTTTAGATTAGACATCTCTCTTTCTTCATCCACTTCTCCTTTAAGTAGCAGGCTCATCTCTCTTTAATTAGAAAAGTTATTCTACTATTAAGAGGTAAAATAGACCAGATAAACCTTCATCAAATGGTTCCATGTTTATTTCCAGACTAGGAACAATGATCCACATCCAAATGACAATAGGCTGCATGCATGATTCAAGCTGTTAGCAAGTGAGTTAGCTTGTTCTACAAAGTATATCAATGCAGTATTTGTTATTTTGCATCAATTGTCATAATGCAAATGACATCATTTGCATAACTTGCAAATGATGCACATTGCATAACATGCAAATGATGAATATTGCATCATTTTCATGAAGACATGATTATACAAATTGCCAAGGAAATGAGGTCCATTGCATGCAAAGTCCATTGAATTAGTTTTCACTATATGCTGAGTTCAATAGTTATCTAATATTCAGAAAGTGTATGCTTAATATACACAGTTTATCAAAATTGCCAATAAAATTGCCAAGAGAAAATGATATTGGTTAGAACTCAATATTTGTACCACCTTCTTCTCATCTTATCTTTTTTGACTTCTAAAATAAATCAGGAATGTACTATTTTTCATTTAGCATTGTTTCTCTTCTTAAATGACAGAAAAAAGTCCTTTAAAGCTCTATTTATTCATCAATTCACCTGATATTCGTGGTAGGGTTGACCAATCACAAGTCATACAATGAGTCATATGGAAGTTTTTAAACAAAAATGCCCTATTTAGTTTTCAGGAACATGCTATGGTGCCAAAGACTACTTTTTTTTCTTGCATTGCCCAAGGGAAATGATGTGACTCTACCAAGAAAACAAAAACTCTTTAAGATTGGATTCTGAATTACCAAAAGGAAACCTGAAATTAATATAGAAATTACATTAGTAAGGACAAACCTTTGGTAAAATAGATCTATCTACAGGTAGTCCTCAACTTACAACCATAATTTCCTTTGACAAGCAAAACAGTTGTTAAGTGAGTTCTGCAGAATTTTACTATCTTTTTTTGATATGGCCGTTAACTGAATCACTATTGTTAAGTGAATGATGCAATTGTTAAGGAAATCTGGCCTCCCCCATTAACTTTGTTTGCAGACACTGTCTGGGAAAGTAATAAATGGTGATCATATGGTTCCCATTTACAATCATAGTAAATCCATGTTGGTTGCCAATGCCTGAATTTTGATTATGTGACTGTGGGACGCTGCAACAATTATAAATGTGAGGATTGGTTGTAAGTCACTTTTTTCAGTGCTGTTGTAACTTTAAATGGTCATTAAATAAACTTTAAATGGCCATTAAATAAACTTTAAATGGTCATTAAATAAATGTAAGTTGTAAGTTGAAGACTGCCTGTAATTATAGCAAATGACACACACTGATATTGTGTACAATATTACACTTATCTTCATAGCTGTCAGGTTGCCAAAGCTCTTGGACTTAAGTTATCAAAATCTGCATTTGCAGCACAGGGTTTTCAATAAATAGAGTAAAGCCTTACGTATTGAGAAAGTACTCTTTTCACAGGAATTAAATGTAGAAAAATTGAATTGAGTGTATAATTATAGGAAGTGAATGCGTATGTCACACAAGGGAGATGTTACTGATTTGGATAAAAATAATTTGTGTGAAACGTCTGATTAGCTAGAAATTATAATTATTCAACCATATTCTTCCCCCAAAAGAATCCTGCATTTAACAGATATGAACAAATTTTGGAATTTCGATGAGTAACATTTTTGTAAAATTAAAAATTTTCATAATTTAGAAACCATGCAATTTTATGTATACTATAAAATGTGCTTTTTTTTAGACACAAATGCCAATAATATTCTGCCTTGAGCACAAATATGGGTGCTGAAACTCCTAGAGTTATTTCCAGAACTAAGCTAACAGAGGTAGCAAGCAATTCAGCATCCTTGTATTAAAAACTTGCAATATTCCTGTTCCAGAAGCTGGTGTCATTTGGAAGAGGCCACAGTTCTGGGACCTGAATGCCCCTAGCTTCCAGGATGGCACCTCATGGCCTCTACATAGGAAGGTTATGCAGTGGCTTGGCCATTCTCCTTCCTAAAGACCATCTTCAGAAAAGATAAGTGAAGTGAAAAGTGATAGGGGTAAGACCCAAGGGTGGTATGGGGCTGTTGCAGTGTCCCTGTGATCAATCGTAAGGGTGGACAGATTGCCAAGCGCCCAAATTTTGTTCAGTGACCATAAAGGTGCTGCAGTGGCTGAAATTTTGAGTACAGGTCATAATTCTCTTCATTTAGTGCTATTGTAATTTTGGATGACTGCTGAACAAACAGTGGTAAGTCAAGGACTACCTATCTGAGAAAGTTAGTGTTGAATTCAATTGCCTTTTTAAAAGTCTAGAGTGGCGAATTTCCTATTACAAGAAAATCACAGGATTTTCAATGGCTTGTTTTCCTGGCTGTCGCTCAGTTTCCTTCTGGGTGCAATTCAAGGTGCTGATTATTCCCTTTAACGCCCTATAAGGCAGGACACTATGGCTATTTCCAGGACCACTCTCCCTAAGGATACCTGCCTGTCCTACTAGATCAGAGAGCTAGGCACGCTTCTGGTCCCTTCCTTTAAATATTGCCATAGGCTCTAGGACAGAGGTCTTCAAACTTGGCAGCTTTAAGACTTGTGGACTTTAACTCCCAGAATTCTCCAGCCAGCATAGCTGGCTGAAGAATTCTGGGAGTTGAAGTCCACAAGTCTTAAAGCTGCCAGGTTTGGGGACCCCTGCTCTAGGAAGTGCACCTTTTTCATATCAGCTCCTGTTCAACGGAATACCCTTCCCCCCTTTTAACCTTCCAAAAAGCACTTAAGAGCACTTAAGAGCACTGGGATAGGTTAAGATTGTTGGGATGAATTTGTTGTGGGCTGCATGACGAAGTTTAGCTGTTAACATTTTATTGTAGATTGTAGTTTTATTTTGGGTATGGGAGTTGTCCTCTTTGGTTCAAGATGGGTAGCTATATAAATGTTTTAACTAAACTTTACTGTAAAGGAAGAAAGAAAAACGTATGCAATGGAAAGCCAGTGCCTGGGAATTTTAATACTTATCCAGCTAGTATTTTTCTCTAAAAATTCTACTTATAAGAAAACAGAAATGAGAAAGATTTAGGGAGAATTTGTGGGTGTGAAAAAGAATAGATTGTATCTGATCTTGCCCTAGAGCTTCCTTTCAATTCTGCATTTAGACTAACTTACACATGCACAGCTGATTTTGATATAAGCAGGTCTGTAGAATATCAATTTTAAAAGAAACAATGCTTTAAGAACTGCAGCTACAGTATCTAGCTAATGGTACCAAGCTAACTTTAGCTCTAAAGGAACAGAAGTTCTAAGCAAGCAAAGTTAGAATTTGTGAAATGCGGTTTATTAAATTAATTGAGGGGGAAAAGAAGAAGAGCAACTCATTATGACTCCTGTTGTATTCACAAGTGGGTGAGGGGAGGGGAGAAAAAAAAGGGAACCCCTCCCACAGTATACCTACATATAACCACAAACTGTGATGCTGCAATCTCCATCGCAAACACCGCTAGCAATAGGAAAGACATTCACTTCTGCATAGCAACGGTAGAAACTCTCAATGCTTTTCTGTCCTTTTGCCACTATCTTCCCCTACTCTTCATTTCCTAGGCTACCCAGCGTTAAGACCAAAATAAAACATTTATTGTAGTACTTATTCCACATAATGTTTTAAAGTAAGTATTACTGTACATGAAAGTTCAGAGGGAAAATTGTTAACAGCAATGTGTAGGAAGACTAATAAAAGCTTCAGAATGGCCAAGACCTGGCATTGCTCTTCCCTGAAATTTAAAACGCAAGGTTACTTTACAGTAGTTCTAAAGGGGTGGGGGTGGAGAAAGGACTGCCAATGATACATAATAGATGGATCCAAGGAGATGCACTTAAGTGGAAAGTATCTCCAAGCTTCTTTGGATTCTTTTTCTTTCACCTTAGAAGCATTAGCATTAGCAAATCCACAACAAGAGGCAAAAGTGTTTCTTGAAAGCCATTCAAAATATCCATGCTATTTATACTCATGCTATAAACTCAATACACATCAATACAGATACTCATGCTAGTAAATTTTGTTTTCATTTCTCTTTCAATTGTTAAGTACCATTTTGTTTTGTTCTAGAGCAACATATTCTTGCGATGTGATTTATTTGCCAACATCAGGACACTTTATTCTTTTTGACTTTAGCTTTTTGAAAAACAAATCACTACAAGTGAAGATTCCCATTTATCTCAAAGCATTTTATATTCTTAATACTAGCTTGTATAACCCGTATAATCAATTCACCATGAACCACAAAGAAAGACCAAAACCAATTTCACCCAGATGTCCAATTCAAAAAAGCATGACCCATGTTTTACCATAAAGGGATTATAAATTTGGTGGACAGGTAGATATTTCTTTACCACTGGGTAATCTATGCTGGGTAATCTATTCATATGAATGATAGAACTCATTCCTGACAATGATGAATTTATGCTATCTTCATTTTGATGCTATCTTTATTTTACTTTAGGTACCAGGCAAAAGCTGTCTAAATATCCCTTTTGTTTTTTGGTACTCAGTTTAATTTTCCGGTACTGTTTTGTAACAATAACAGTAATGATTAGTAAAGTTTTTAATATTAACTTTAGTCCTAATTTCTGGCTCACTGTGAACTCACAGGAACCTCACTGTGGCTGCACTTCAAATATACAAAGAATGTTCATGTGGATCCATCTATTTTGACTCCAAGGCAGTAAGATTTTTAATTGAAATTAATACTAACATTTACGTTCTCTCAGGTATGAGGCAGTTGAAAAGCTGCTTTTTAAATGGATTTGGAAGCAATAGATTTTTTTTCCTTGCTCGTCCATATAAAAACTTTCAATTACCCAGAATTCTCATTTGCTGCCTCAGTTTCCAAACCCAGAAATGGTGCTCTTCAAATGTACTAGGACTATTCAAAGAGGCCATTTTTACAGTCTCTTTAGCAAAGTCACGATTTCATATTCCCAAGTGATGTCCATTTGTCTACTATGAAAGCAAAATGGTTTTCTCTCAGTGGCACAGAAAGATTTTTATCAGAAGATGGAGCTTTGTGCAGGTTTACAATAGAAATGTATAACTTTGTCTAAGCCAGTTGCATTTCTAGAGTAAGCTTCCACAAATTTACAGTTTGTAAGAGGAATAGGAATTAAAGCAATTCTCTTTCAGATGGAACTATCCTACTTTTCGTTAAAATTATTTTAACTGAGTATAATCTGAACAAGTTTATATGTAGAAATTATTTTAATATTTTTTTTAAAAAAATCAGATAATGGTGACCAACAACTTCAAACACTTCTCTGGAGGGGAAAAAGAAGTAGGCATTATCTTTTTATCTGAAACTACAATTCTTAGTCGCAGTCTAAAATGCAAAAATAATAATAATAATAATAATTCCCCGGTCAAGTTCAGACAACAGCAAGCTTTGAGTTCACAATGTATTTATAGCTTACATTTGACAAACTGGAATACATTTAAGCATTTCAAGAAACAAGAACAGTAAAAAAAAAATATTTTCAGTATGCAGATTAGTAAACATATGACCTAACAGTTTTCAAAAAATAGTTTATGTAAGCCCCTATAGAAAGTGGCAAATAAAACACCGGCAGTCAATGCCAGTAGCTTTCAATGTCAACTCATAAATAAAAGCCTTTGTAAAAAAAACAAAAACAAAAGTAACCCTGAAACATGATAATGCCTACCAGAGTTAAAATTTTAGTTAATAAAAAAAAACAGTGTTAGTGCAATATCATGTCAGTATATCATGCTTTGGAAATTTAATGACAATGTCGTATATACATGTGGATACACCAGTGTTTTTGAGTAACAATAAGAAACACAAATATGTAACAGAAAATATTTACGTACAGGTATTTTATGTCTCAATATTGTCCACTGTATTACCAAATGTTCTTTTTTTTTGTGGTGTTGCTCTGCCATTCCACTGTAGTTTTTTTTTTTAAAAAATGCCATATGTTGCGTTTTGTTGAATCAAAAAGGAGTTCTAAAAATGCAGGTTCTTGCAGCAATGGCAGTTTTTCCATGAATTACTTGAAAGGAGAGCTGAAAAATAAATAGCATTTCAGTGTTAACAGATTTAAATTTAGATATACTTAAAAAAAAAAAAAGGGGGGGGGGGAGGGAAACTAGAAGGTGCAATCAAGGTTAAGATACCAGTATCTTAATGTATGCATTTAAGCCTCATGCGATTCGCCAATTCATATTTTTGCAATGTCCAAAGTTTCTATAGATTAAACTAGTAAAATTAAGCAGTAAATTGCATTTTAGGGTGTCCTTTTCTTTTTTGCCTTGGACTCTTGGTAACTACATGGACAAATCCAAGTACAGAAACCTTGGTTAACAATGAAATTGGGACCAGAATTTCCACTGCTAAGCAATATTATTGTAAAGCTGAATGTCACGTGATCACATTGCTTTATGATGTCAATCCTTACTGTCCCCATTGCCATTGTTAGGGGAAGATTGCTGGTCAGGTCACTACTTCCGGCCAGCTTCTGACAACCAATCAGTGGGGAAGCTAACAGGAAGATGCAAATCCCAGGCACCTTGCAAGCAGGCTGGCAGTCAGATAAGTAGTTGCTGCTGGGTGTGGGTGGCTGGCAAGGTGCAGTGGGACTGGGGGGTGGCTGCTGGCTGAGGGGAGAAGATTCACAAAGGTGCAAAAAGCCTCTGAGCTGCAGATCTTCCCTTTGCATGGCTGTGATGATGAGCCCAGCAGAGGGGAGGCCAGTTAAGATAATGAAGGTCAGCTGGGGAGGGGGGGAGGCTAGAAGGAATAGCAATAGCACTTACTTATATACCGCTTCACAGTGCTTTGCAGTTTTCTCTAAACAGTTTGCAGAGTCAGCCTATTGCCCCCAACAATCTGGGTCCTCATTTTACCGACCTCAGAAGGATGGAAGACTGAGTCAACCTTGAGCCTGGTGAGATTTGAACTGCCAAATTGCAGGCAGCCGGCAGTCAGCAGAAGTAGTCTGCAGTACTGCACTCTAACCACTGTGCCACCATGGCTCTGTGGAAGTCATAAAACCAAATATTTATACCTTAAACCCTGAAAAAATTTGAGCCTTGCCTGTCCTTATCCCACCCTTCCATCAACTGAAAATATATTGAGAAGTGTGATGCTGTCTTGTTGTTGCAAAAAGAGAACATTTTAAAGATTTATCGTTAAAATTAGAAAAAAAATGGGGGTGGTGCTATGTGCTATGTTTTGACAGCATGCCATTCTCCATGTGAGTCACTGTCAAGGGTTTATATGTGCATGCATACATTATGTGTAAGTGTACCTAAAATCACTGTAAGTGGTTATGTAAACATTTTAGGAATAAACATTATTTCAAGAACAGCACATTTTAGATTAAGGTGATAACCCTTTAGCATTACTGAAAAAAAATATATATTTGGAGCTATATAAGCTGTGTGTAGCTCATTAATCAATAAAGAAAAAAAATCAAAAGACAATGAATGAATTCCACTGAATGATTTTGGTTATTATTTCTTCACTTAATATCCAATCCATTAAAATAGATTTCAGGAAGATAGTAGGATAGAGAAAAGGTGACAATCTCAAATTTATGTCAATCTCAACTCTTTTTTAGCTAAGGATGATTTTTCTGTTTTTAATTAATTATAGAGAGAAATATGAAAGTGCCAATGAAGTATCAACTACAAAACTGTCAGAAAGAATGGTGCTTCCTAAAATTTTTCGAAGAATGTATGAACCAGTTTTAGCTGAAACAGTAAGAGGGCACTGAAATTGATTTCTGCATTGCAAGCAAATGTACGTGAATGCTTGCTATCTATACTAAAAACCTTGGAAAAACTATTTTTATTGTACTAAACTGAAGCAAAGATGATACTAACTTGGTAATACACACCTTATGTTTCATAAAACAAGAAGTTTCTTTGTTGCTTGCTTTTAACAGCCGCATTCTTGAACACTCTGAGCCTGTGCTCTCCGTGGGGATCTTAGCTGTCTCAAAGCAGCATCTCCATATTGAATTCCTGAGCCCATCCTTTCAGGATCCAGTTCACCTGATAAAACAAAATACAATTTCTTTTTTATATGGTCATAAACTGCACACACAAGATTAAAAAACATTGTGAATGTAATTTAAATTATAAGAAGATATCCATCACACTTGAGGATTGAGAATGTCCATAGCATTGACACACAAACCCTGTACTTTAAAAACAAAAACATATACATTTTTCTCTAGAATTATAGTTTATGTTAGTGAGATTGGGATTTTTTTTTCTCGTTAACTGCTGTTTAATAATATTCACTGGCCTGATCTGTCTCGAAATGTAAAAGCAATTTCCTTCCTCTTAGTTCAGAGATATATCAAGAGAGATAGCACATGATAATGAAAGCTGGAGATCACAATCTGATATTGTTTGCCTTAGCACCAGATCTTAATGTTTTATGCAATAGTTTGAGTTCAGAAATACTTGTTTTAAATGTTTTCAGATATAACATAGAAAAACTTCCAGCAATATCTAAAAAAATAGATTTATCCTGACTAAAGGATTTTTCTTTCTTATGATGAATTCTTTTTATACAAGATTACATAATGAATCTATCTATAAGGAAAACCAGTTTGGTCTAGAAGTTTAAGCAAGAGACTGCGAGTTCAAGTCCGCCTTAAGCCGTGAAAGGCAGCTGGGTGACTTTGGGCTAGTCACACGCTCTCTCAGCCTAACCCATCCCACAGGTTTGTTGTTGTGGAGAAAATAGGAAAAGGGAGGTGTGTTGAATATGTTTGTTGTCTTGAGTTATTTGTAAAAATAATAAAGCTGAGTAATAAATAAATAAAAATATACCATACTTTCTGTACTGGAAAATAAACATGGCTTGGACAGAAAGCATTAAATCTGACCATTTAGGCATTAGCTGGATAAACTTTTCTTTAACTTCTTTGACAAGACACGGTTTATTATCAAGTAGAATTTTACAACAAAGGAAAAATACATTTAATCCAAGAGTACTTTAGCATTTCAGAAATGACATTTAATCCTAGGTAAAAATATTTTAATAACTGAAACTTGGATTATGATTACCTGACTCAATCTTATTAAGTATCTTTCTTGCACATTGTACAAAGGCTTCTTCAACATTCTCCCCTGTCAATGCACTTGTCTCCAAAAACATCAGCTCTGTAACAGTAAAAATGAAATGTGTTTGGTCAGTGTTCAAAACGACCCAATAATGGTCTTTCAGCTTTAAATGCAATATATTTACATATGTCATCATATTCTTCCCATAGATGGTTTCCCTGACCAGTTTTTATCAATTCCTCTTATTGTACATTCCTAAGTCAATTCTGTCTATATCTACAGTATTTATCAGTAAACCCCACTGAGCATCCAATACTGCAGCCTATATGGGAGAAAACATTTAGGAGAAAATTCTAACCAACAAAGTATCTCCCATCTTTCAAACTAAGAAGATTCTAGAACACAGCTAGGGAAAATCTAGTTGCTAGACCTTGAGCAAAAACCTCTCTCTAAAGCTCTGCTGCCAGACAAAATTGTCTCTTTATCGCTTCCAGCAAGACTCACATGTGCTATAAGTTCCAATATTCTAAACTGCATGAAATGCCTTCAAGTGAAACAATACTGTCTACCAAAATGGGGAAGACAGTACACAAGCCAGAGGACAGACAACCATGTTTACATATACTCAGTACGGACTGCTTGCAAGCACAATGTTTTCCCCAGAGAAAATATAACAGCATTGCCAATAGCTGCATTTGTTTGCATTCTATTTGGAGAACATTAAAATGCAGCTCTGCTTTGCTATATATGGCTACTCATCTCATGTGACATGACTTTGTGCTACATACAAATTGACTTATAGAGAGAAGAGGGAGGGAGGGAGGGAGGGAGGGAGGGAGAGAGAGAGAGAGAGAGAGAGAGAGAGAGAGGGAGGGAATGAATGAATGAATACCAGTAATCCTAGTTTAACAACCAGGTGGACCCACCAAAAGGTACTTACGACCTGATTTTAAAGTTCTGCTGGCTGTACCACCACACAGTCACATGATTACATGTTGGGCACTTGGCAAACAGCTCATCTTTATAGCCATTTATAGCGTTCCATGGTCATGAGCATATGTTTTTAACTTTTTTGCTGGTTCTTGCATTATTTCTGATTTCTGGCAAACAATGTTCATTGGACAATATGTATTTGCTAAATGACCGCTGTGCTTGCTTAATGACCACCACAAAAAAGGTCAGAAGATTGAGTACCATCATGTGATAACTAACTTAATGACTGCAATGCTTTATAACCATAGTTCCAGACTCAATTATGGTTGCAAGATGGGGACTAATTGTACTAAAATTAATATTGTTATGAAAATTGTCAGATTATGCTATGCTCTGCTTCCTTCTTCCTCACTGAGAAGAAATTACACATAGCTAAAGCTCTTTCAAAGGCAGCATTGACTTAATATGGCTCTTTCCTCTACCTGGGAAGACATGACTAGTCAATTTGTTAAACACCAGCTAGAGCACAGCAGGAACAAATTTCCAATGTGAAGAGTTGGGAGCAACAGTACAACGAATACAAATGTTCTCAAGTAGTGTGGTTCTCTCTGCAGAACCCTGCTGCTAGCTAGATTTAATTTCCTATTCTTAATCCTGAATGTTTTCAGCTGTAGCCTTGAATCAAGAGTCCAATTATAGGTTAACTAGCATATAATATAACCAGGATATTACTAGTATATGCAGGCAAAATCCAGGGATGTTCATTAAGATCTTTCTTTTACCCTCTCCTCCCTGACTTTGATCATTAAGGGAGTCCAACAATAGGACAAAACTGACTAATCTTACAATGTCATAATGTAATCAAATTTAACTATTCACATAAGTACATTACACATATTCACATAATTCTATATGATCACTCAGAATGGCTGTGTTGTTTTAAACACAAAAGACACACTCAAACAGACTGGAAAACAGTACTTAAAAACAAGCAATGTGTGGAAAAAGGAAACAATAAAGACTTATAAAATTTCTTTTTTATAAGCGAAGGTTTCAGAAGTGAAACCTCCATTTCACTCTGAACATTTGTTGTGTGTGTGTGTGTGTGTGTGTGTGTGTGTGTGAATTTTCACTACAGCCCTTTATCAGGAAACCATAAGACATCAAGAAAACTACTTACCATTTTCCTGAGCAAATCTGGATGCTTCTAGGAAAGTGACTTCCCTGTCTCCATCAAGATCCTTTTTGTTCCCACATAATATTATTACAATATTCTGACTTGCTAACATCCTTGCATCTGTCAGCCAGTTGGTAAGTGCATTGTAGGTTTCTCGACTAAATCAAAGAATAAAATATTTTGTATTCATATTTACAATCCACAACCACCCATAGAAATATTTTGCTGTACTTGTCTGCAAAGAAGCTATTGTACAATAAGATACCTGAAAAGTATTTCCAGTTATGACTGCAGTGTCACAAAAATATTCATTCTTATATTGAGATCTGGTTTAATGCACTACGGGAACTGAAACTATGACAACAGCAAGATAGCCAGAAGAGCTAGATCAGAAAGTAAGTAACTGAATGTTGATCCAATGCTTTCAGCTATGACTCCAGATTGTATATTTGCTATTTTATTCAGTTCCCAGGAGAAAGCCAACATCCTGAGAGTAAAACTAGGATCAAAGAGCTGAGGAAATTTCTGATGAGTCGTCACATCAAATAAAGTTCTCAGAAACAAATAAAACATAATCCATAGAAATTTTATCTATTTGACTAAACTGTCCAAATAGATCCATGTATGCAGTTACATACATAGGAGGTTTTAAACAATATACATACATAGGAGGTTTTAAATAGACTTCCTTATTATAGACCAGGACCACCTGTATCACTAATTGTTAAAAGCATTGGGGCAGGGAGCAGATTTGAGTGAAGTCACTTATAGAAGTTTGTAAAAACTAACTAGAGAGGAAGTATAGAGGCAGCATCTTCTCCCTAGATAGTTCAGCTTATGTGCAGAATACATATTAACTGTAAGAAAATTCCATATTCCCTGGAGAATATGAAAGGATTACCCAGATTTTAACTGTGCCTAAGATTTCTCTGGAAACAGTTTGGTGTAATGGTTAAGGCATCAGGGCTAGAAACTGAGGAACTGTGAATTCTAGTTCCACCGTGGGTATGAAGAAACGGGGTGACCTGGGCCAGTCACTTTTAGCCTTAGGAAGGAGACAACGGCAAACCACTTCTGAAAAACCTTGCAGGGAAAAAAAAACCTCTGCAGGGACTTGTCCAGGTAGTCTCTGAGAATCAGAAATGATTGAACAGAAGGAAAAACAGAAGAGTTGGGGGTGGGAGGCACCGTGTTGCGGTGGTTCTCCTCCTTTCTCTCCAACCGGTCGCAGTTTGTGTTGGCAGGGGGGCAGAGGTCGACCTCGAGGCCGCTTATCTGTGGAGTGCCGCAGTAAAGCCGCTGGGCGAGATCATCCGTGGCTTTGGGGTGAGATACCACCAGTACGCTGATGACACCCAGCTGTACATCTCCACCCCAGGCCACCCCAATGATGCCCTTGAAGTGATGTCCCAGTGCCTGGAGGCTGTGCGGATCTGGATGGGGAGGAACAGGGTCAAGCTCAACCCTTCCAAGACTGAGTGGCTGTGGCTCCCAGCATCCCGATATAGTCAGTTGACTCCATCACTGACTATTGGGGGCGAGTCTTTGGCCCCCACAGAGAGGGCTCGCAATCTGGGAGTCCTCCTGGATAGGCAGCTGTCCTTGGAGGAACATCTGACAGCTGTAACCAGGGGGACCTTTTGTCAGGTTCGCCTGATTCGCCAGTTGCGGCCCTTTCTTGATCGGGATTCCCTGTCACTCATGCCCTCGTCACCTCTCGCCTTGACTACTGCAACGCTCTCTACATGGGGCTCCCCTTGAAGAGCACCCGGAGGCTCCAACTGGTCCAGAATGCAGCAGCGCGGGTAGTGATGGGAGCAGCATGGCGCTCCCATGTAACACCACTCCTGCGCGAGCTGCACTGGCTCCCAGTGGTCTTCCGGGTGCGCTTCAAGGTGCTGGTTATCACCTTTAAAGTGCTCCATGGCATCGGGCCTAGCTATCTTCGAGACCGCCTGCTGCTACCAACGACCTCCCATTGTCCCGTGCGCTCCCACAGAGAGGGCCTCCTCAGGGTGCCATCAGCCAATCAATGCAGGCTGGTGACCCCCAGGGGGAGGGCCTTCTCTGTGGGGGCACCTACCCTCTGGAATCAGTTGCCCCCAGAGATAAGGAGAATCCAAGACCTTAGCGCCTTCCGCCGTGCCCTTAAAACCCACTTTTTTCAGCAAGCCGGGCTGGTTTAAGAAGAAATTTTAAATGTTTTAATTGGTTTGTATTTTTAATTTTGGGCCAAATTTATATATATTTTAATTGTTTTTAATATTTGTATTTCATGTTTTTTAATTCTGGCTGTACACCGCCCTGAGTCCTCAGGGAGAAGGGCGGTATATAAATTTAAAATAAAATAAAAATAAAAATAAAAAAAATAAAAAGATTTCTCTAGTATTTGGCTTTTACCTGGTGATGTCATAAACAAGCAAGGCACCTGCAGCACCTCTGTAATAGCTTCGTGTTACTGATCTGTGAAGAAAAAAACCCCACAGTATTTAAAAGGACAGAAATTTGAATTCTGTGCAATGCTAAAATTGTAAGTATAAACTACAGTGCTTGTTTAGGTTTGTACTTGCAAGACAAAACTAGAGTTAGATATTGAAGTACTCCACCATTTAAATTTATGTATTTATTTAAAACACTTATATAGACATCTGTCTTATATCGAATTCTGGCTAATGAGAGCATTATTAACTTCCCAGATGTGTTTCCTTTTAGCCGGACTGGGTCAGAATTTCTCAGATAATAGCAAATGCATTATGAACCCCATTTACTAGTTATAGCATCTTCTAGTGTTATTCAGCCACACTGAGGTGACATAAAGCCTATTCTCATTACTGTTCTATCTGGTTGGCTATAAAAATGTTATAAAGTTACAAGAAGAAAGTAGCGTTCACTTTAACAGAAATACTGAAAACACCTATACCTTGGAATTGCTTTTCCTTATTTAACAGGAAATTATACCTGAACCGTTCTTGTCCAGCTGTATCCCATATCTGCAGTTTTACATATTTGCCTCCAACATTTATTATCTTTGAACCAAACTCCACTCCTATAGTGTGATTTGAGTCATCTTTGACTATAACAGAAAAAAAAAACTTAATTAGTACTCAACTCCGGTTAAAAAGGCAAGGGTCATAACAGGTTTTGTCAGTGTACGGATGCAAACATTATGGAACTTTTGAAGCCAGGAAAAAGAAATAAATGGAAAATTGAAAAAACCCTATACAAATGGAAATTAATTGTATCAGAATATAAAATATATTACATAAAGGTTGGAATGCTAATAAAGTCACTATCATAATTTGTTGATTCATATAGTAATTAGATGCTTGGAAACGGAATTAAACTTAAACCAGAAGCCATTACGAATTTGTAAAAAACAGAACATCTTTCTTTTGCCAGTATATTAAAAGCTAAAAATCAGAAGAAAACATGAATACTAAGACATTACATTTATAAGCATTCTGGACAGAGTATAAATCTGAGCAATAAACCATAACAGAACAGTGTTTTTAACTTTGGGCTAGTAAATGAAAAATGTTTTTATTACAAGAAACAAGTGTATTGAGAGTATTGAGTGTATTGAGCTATCACATTTGCTAACAGTTATTTCTACTATTTATAATCTTTTTTATCATGGTGAATTCTTAAAATTTATTTAGATGAACAAGTTTTGAACACAGAAATAAGCTGATGTGTTATAGAGCCGAAATTCAAGTTTGCCATTAGCCATAAAGGTCCAGACTAGTAGTTGATCCCTCTCTCTGCCTGAACTACTAGCTTTCTTCAAGTCCAAGTCATGATCATTACATACTGTTTTAGTTTCTCTTATCACACAAACTCCAACAAAACACAACTATCTTTTTCAAATGTTCCTGCCACTTGCTTTTCCTTGCCTACGACTTCCTGTTATTTAGCACCAAGTCAAAAATTGCCGACACTCTTGGGGCTTGAAACTCTTGGGGCACAAAACTAATGTCCTTCTACCTCTTGAAGGAGAAAGTTGTTAGCCAGACAAGGCAGGGCATTCTTGGCAGGGTTTCTCTCCCAACGAATACTGGAGCAACTAAAATCCCCCACTACATGCCATGCCTCATCTTGGATGGTAAGGATTTCAATATTTGATTTTTTTTTCCTGCCTTAAGATGTTTTTAAAGTTTCTGAATATAATCAACCTATACTTAAAACCACTTCTATCATGCTTTCACTCAAGTCACAATGATATACAAATGAAATGTGTGCATTAGCCTACATTCCTTTGGATATACATCCATAGATTATGTTTTGACTTGTAAAGTATATCTCCTGCTCTCATAATGAAGACAGGAGATCAGTTCTGGATGATCTCACATAGTCAAATGGAAACTAATTGGAATAAATCATACCCTTCTACAACCATGTTTATAGATTTCTGGCATACTTCATTAGTAATACTTTTAAGAAATATCACCATGATGAGGATTAATAAAATGCTACCGCCCACAAATTCCAAAGTGGATAGGATTTGGCTGCAAAAAAATACAATTTTACTTACATTTCTTCTCAATAAACTGATGAAGCAAACAGGATTTGCCAGTTCCAGCATTTCCAATGACCAAAAACTTAAACAGGAAATCTGTAAACAAGATTACATATTAGTGTATTTAAATATAGAGCCATACTGTAACTGTTGTTTTCTTTTGTCTTAAAAGCATATCACAAGAATACTGAATAGAAAAACTGTTGAGCTGTAATTCAGTAGCTCATTCACAAAGACATTGTAACAGAAATAATCAATCGTTATACTCAATAGATATCACACCACTCAAGCACATATTTTAACAAGAGGACAACCAGCAGCAAAGTGGATGGACTCAGTTACAGAGATGTTGAATGGATTGTTGAAAGACCTAAGGACCAGGTTAAGAAAAGATCTTCATGAACAAAATTTACCTAGTCACTGACAGTTGATGGCATATAATTAATCAAAAACTTGGTGTAAAATACAAATATAAATTTATATTTGCACAAAAATTAATGGAGGTACAGCTGTTTTAATACCTCCTCACATCTTGATTATAAAGTACTTCACTATTTCTCATTTTAAAGCACTAATATATTAACTTAATGAGAAAACTAGTTGTTGCCTTATTTAGATAACAATCTTGTCTACAGTGAACTTCCTCTATTAAAATGGCTGAAACTTTATACCAATTCATGTCATTGGTTCACATGAATTGGTATAAAGATGGGGAAAGTTGTTTTTCATTCATTGCATGTATTTATTACATTTTTGGTTTATACAGAATGAGAGCTTTTTTAAAAAAATAAAGATTTGCCATAGTTATTCTGCTCTCAAGCAAATTCATTTTTATGAATTAAGAAGGGCCTGGAAATTGTTAACTGCTCACTATCTAATTTTTACAAAAATTATCAACTATTTCATGCAAAGGAACAGTATCAAAATTTTATCCAATTTTGTTAGAAACAGATATAATTAACTCAACACTGGGAATGAAAGAAGTCTGGAAGCCAGAATGAAAGCAGGCAATTGAATGATGCTATTTCCCTCTGGAAATCTGGATAATTCTTATCTGCCTCAACCTAACAAATATTTAGATCATTTTAAGATATCTATTTTAGATCACTGGCATTTAGCCCGTACAAGAATCTCACAAATACCTATTACCTAGCTGCAAGGTACTGGAAGTTTGTCATCGAACAGGAACGTTCTTCCATTTTTGGCAGGAATGGGAGAGTTTCAAAATTTCAGAGGCAGGGTTTTAACATGATAGTAATAACCAATCAAATTCAAACCAAGTTTAGGGTATACAACACACACACATATATATTTAATGGAAGGAATAAAGTTATGAAACACAAAACTAATGTTTTCCTGCTTTTAATGAAAGTTAATGCTCACCAATGGAAGTGGTCAGATAATCTTTTATTAGAAAATTGATTTAGTTAGATTTGATCACTTGACCTGCTTGAAAAATTCTCTGACAAACTTTGCTCAAAAAAATATAAAGGAAATCATTATTTTTAATTGGAATTGGCAGCATTAAATGCATTTCCTAAAAGAAATGTCCTTCAGAACGTATAAACATTTTAAATGAATTATTATAGGACTATTTAATGTGGAATGCATCTGTGCATTGTTTTTTTTTAATCCTTCATTTTAGCTTCACTCAGTGATGCAGTCAACCTGAAAGATTGCATCGAACTTTTTTTTCAAAGGCAAATTAATATAGGTAAAATCATAGCCTTAAATTTTGAAGCCTGTGCTTTATCTTGTATTCTTTTTATGACTTTAGCTGGTTATCTTAAAAACACGCAGAGAGTTAATTACATTGGCACCACAATTTATTATCCTTCCTGGGTTCACTGCCATGGAACCACTACACACCAGGCAAAGGAATGTGGTGTTCTTTCTGTCTTATTTGTTGCCACTCTTGCCAGAAGCCTTTCTTGCATGTCATTTGGCCTACATGACCAAACACTATTTTCCCCAAATTACTGGATTCACTAATTCTCTTTCAAAATAGGTAAGGTTTCTTGACAAAGAAAGCAATTCACAGAACTTATTGCCTCAGCTGTTTAAATGGTTCAACCAGATGGGGAAGAAAGCTCTAAAAGGCATTTCATTACAAAGCTTATTCTCTTTTTCCCCTTTTCGCTTTGAGTTTCAAGACATTGTTAACTTGGGACAAAAAATCCCCAACAAGGATTTTGTATGCTGAGTGTATTTTCATTTCCCAAGAGCTCAAATGTTCATGATAAATATATTTTAGAAACATGAAGTCTGTAAAATATAGCCATCAAACTTTTACATAATATTTGGAATGATAAAATTTGGAATATTGAAAAAGAACTATTAAACATATAGCTCTCTAATGTTAAAGTTAAATTCCCCTAAATAATTTAAAATTTAAAACTATTTTTGAATTATTCAGAAGAACAGAGTTGGAAAGCACCTTGGAGGTTTTCTAGTCCAACCCCCTGCTTAGGCAGGAAACCTTAGACCATTTCAGACAAATGGTTTTCTAATCTCTTCTTAAAAACCTCCAGTGTTGGAGCACCCACAACTTCTGGAGGCAAGCTGTTCCGCTGGTTTATTGTTCTCACTGTCAGGAAATTTCTCCTTAGTTCTAGATTGGATCTCTCCCTGATTAGTTTCCATCCACTGCTTCTTGTCCAGTCTTCAGGTGATTTGGAGAATAGGTTGACCCTTCCTTCTTTGTGGCAATCATACATATCATAAATCATAAATCATAAATCATTCACATATCATAAATCAGCGAGCAAAAATATAATTTTATACCATATTTCATGAATGTATTATTTGATATATTGTCAGTTTTCTTAAACTTAGAATTTTTATGGTTTTATTCTTTTATAATTATAAATATATTTCACCTAAAAGTATATATAAACACCAGGATTGCAACCTTATGAAAGAAATCAGATGGGAAGGGACAGAAGTGAAACAAAACAGTATGCAGTATGCCATTTCTAGAATATTTGTAGGTACAATAATAAAACTTAAAACCATGAAACAGAAACTTCTGCTAGCTTTGTATAGAATCATTGTTTGATGGCCATTTGCTCCATGGTTATCGGTTGTGTTTTGTTTTGTTACTGTTCAAAGTTCCTTTTCCAAAATGAATTAACTCCTTTTACTAAGAGAATATCTTCTTCCATTTTTTGCCCCACCCCCACACCCCACATAACCTTAAAACACAATCTGAAACTAGATTTGAGTATGGGATACTAGATTTTCAAATTAGATTTAAATATGGAAATATAGGAAAAAAGTGGTAAAAACCAGACTGCTTGAACTGAAGTTTGCTTAGGTGACACTAGTTTTGTTCTTCCAGATCTAATAAAATCTACAAACATCTCCAATGGATTCCAACTCAGTATGCAATCTTCTAGAATTTCAATGCATATTTTAAGATCATGGATTATGCACATTGATGTGAAAACAAAGAGGTTATGCCTCTAAAATAAGATACTAATTCCCAGAAGCCCATCTATTTATAAGCAGAACAAATAATAATCAAGAATTCTGATATAGAAAAAGATGTAGTAAACTTTTTTTTCTAAATACACATCCAGCAATTTACTTTTAACTGCCAAGAGGATTAAGTTATGGCAATATCTGGCACTTTGCAATGAAACTACAGTACTGCTTTGTTCAGGAAAGTGAATGAAGTAAACTTGAAACACATGGCATTTATTTTATGCACACAGTTAGGCTTTTGTATCCTGATAAAGTTCAGTAGTATTCAATTCCTATTCTTGTTTTCTTATTCTCTGCATTATACATAGTATTCTTTCATTTTGAGCTTGTTATGCTGTAAGAACACCACATACACTTGCATTCAAAACCTATTGTCATTATTTAACCATTTTTCCATTTGTATGAGGTATAGAAATTACTCCATTACAAATACAGTATGTAACAATTCGAGTTAACATAATGGTCAGATCTGTATCTTATCACTCAACACAAAACAATTGTAAACCAATACTTTGCTAAGAAAAGTTATGTGCTGGGGTAATTTGGCTTCCTTGAATAGATACACTGACACTAGTAAAAGTTTTTGAGGCAGTTCTTTGAGTCAACAAATAAGTATGTGAGGGCTTCAAGGAATGCTCTTTATTGTGGTAAACAGCATAACAATACATTGAAAGTCTGCCCAATTTTGTTGTGACCCATCTTATACTGAACTATTTTAAATCTCTTATTCAGGCCTCCCTCTACCTCAGAACTATGTGATTTCTCCTTCAAGCTGCATTAATGGCCAGCCTTTAATAAGCCTCCTTCCTTTCCCCCCTTAATAGCTTTTTCTTATCGTCCACAAGGTCAGCTCTAAATTCCTTTACAAATACAGAGCTTACTACATTGCTACAGTTACTGTACACACAGGATTAAGCATTTTTAAGGAGCCATATGCAGAAGGAAGTCTAAGTTACATTAGCTGGAAACTTCTACTTCATCCAGAAATACAAAATATATTTCACAACCTTATTTTTTGCAAAGCCCAAACCACTACCTAACAGTGTGGCAATTTAAATATGATAACAGCAATCTTAATTACTGGGTGAGAAATACGATTGGGTTACAGTCTTTCTGTAACCCAAGATAGGTTGCTACCAGAACACCACCACAATGGGTAAGCTTCATTTCTAAATGCATGCTTGGTGGAAAGTGGATCATGAGTTATTAGAAAAGGTTGAAAGCAACTAACCTACTATGGAGACAGAAGGGTGATAAATCAGAAAGATCAAAATGTAAGGAATCAAGAGTTTTGACTACAGGTAGTCTTCAACTTACAACACTTCATTTAGTGACCGTTCAAAGTTACAACAGCAGTGAAAATGTGACTTATAACCATTTTTCACACTTAGACCTTTGTAGCATCCCCGTGATCATGTGTTCAAAATTCAGACGCTCGGCAAACTAGTTCATACTTATGTCAGCTTTTGCAACCTTTTGACAAGCAAAATCAATGAGGAAAGCTAGATTCCCTTAACAACCCTGTTACTAACTGAACATCTGCAACGATTCGCTTAACCACTGTGGCAAGAAAGGTGGTAAAATGGGGGCACAACTCACTTAAGCACAGAAATGCTGGGCTAAATTGTGGTCGTAAGTCAAGGACCACCTGATATTGGTAAAAAAATAACCCAGCTTCAGGTAAGCTGTCAAGGTCTCCCCCAGCGCCCCTCTCTACCTTGCTTGCTTACTAGCGAAGGGCTGCGACTCTTCCCCTTCCTGCTCCAAAGGGGAGAAACCCGGGAAGAGATGCGCGAGGCTTTCATGTCTCCAGGAGCGATCCTAACGCGGGGGGGGGGGGGGAGCACCTTTACGCTCGTTAAATGAAAACAGAAGGGCGGCTTTATTACGCAAAGCCCATCCCCGGCAAGCCAATGGAAAGGTTCTTCCGCTGGACGTAGTGCTTGGCGACCCGTTTTTTTCTGAACCTGCTTTCTTCCCGTAGCTCTCTCGGTAGCAAAGAAAGCAGACCCTCCGCGGACCCTTCTCCTTCCCTCCCTCCCTGCTCAACCCCGGGCCACCTACCGTAGGTCTCGGACATGGCCGTCTGCGACATCTTGGGAGCGCCGCCGACGCCACCCGGGAAACAGAGGCCGCCCGCGTCTCAGTCAGGTCCCGACCCGAGGCTCCACCTCTGGCCCTTCCCCCCACCACCCCTCTAATTAGGCACCCTGCAGAGAAGACGGGGGGGCAAGGACTTCCAACTCCCGCACGGAAATGTGCTCTCTACGCCTGCGCACGTAGCTCCTCCCCTTTTCGCTCCGCCCTTCGGGGCGCGGCCTGCCGGTATGCGCAGGCGCGCTGCCCCACGAACGGCTCTCTCTCTTCCCTCCCCCTCCTCTCTCTGTCTCTTGCGGTCACCAAAACAAAGCGCACGTGCACGGCGTCTTTGGCATCGGAGAGCGCCCCTGGTGGAAGGGAGGAGCGGTTCGGTCCAGGAGGATTGACGCGAGCATCTTTGCTGGGATTGGGACGGGCGTGTGTCGGCTGCTGCTTCGGGGTGGAGGGTGGGGCGGAATGGAGTTGGAGGGGAAAGGGTAAAAGGGGCTTGCTCAGCTTGTCTTTGGAAAAGCAGGAAGATAGGCTTCCTTCCTACCATCTCTTCCCACTTATGGCTATAACCATGTTTGTATCTTTACAATTTATATTGTTTTATTGTTTCCCAGCATGATTTGATTGCTTATTAGTATCCTACGACTATCACTAAGTGTTGTATCTTATGATTCTTGATGAATATATTTTATTTTTTCTTTATGTACACTGAGAGTGTATGCACCAAAGACAAATTCCTTGTGTGTCCAATCACATTTGGCCAATAAATTATTCTATTCTATTCTATTCTATTCTATTCTATTCTATTCTATTCTACCCAATCCAGGGGAAGGTTACTGCAAAATCCCCATTTCCTCCTGATCAGCTGGGACTTGGGAGGCAGAGAATAGGTGGGGGCAGGGCGAGTCAGAATTTTTACTACCGGTTCTCCGAACTACTCAAAATTTCCACTACCGGTTCTCCAGAACTGGTCAGAACCTACTGAAACCCACCTCTGATATGTCTATTCTATTCTATTCTATTCTATTCTATTCTATTCTATTCTATTCCATTCCATTCCATTCCATTCCATCCCATCCCATCCCATCCCATCCCATCCCATCCCATCCCATCCCTATCCCTATCCCTATCCCTATCCCTATCCCTATCCCTATCCCTATCCCTATCCTATTCTTCTGCTAGAACAGTGTTTTTCAACCTTGGCAATGTTAAGATGTGTGGTTTTCAGCTCCCTCAATTCCCCAGCATTGCCAAGATTGAAAAACACACTGTTTAAATAAGACCACTGGGGTGTTTTACTTGTGGACTTTTTTTTTCTGTCCGTGTAATCTGACAAGCACATTTTTTTTAGGGACAAATGCAGTGGTGGGATTCAGCCAGTTCGCACCACTTCAGGAGAACCGGTTGTTAACTTTCTGAGCAGTATGGTGAACTGATTGTTGGAAGAAATCATTAGGGCAGTTGTTAAATTATTTGAATCCCACCACTGGACCAATGTATAGGTAGTCCTCAACGTATCACCACAATTTATGTTGCTAAGTGAGAAATTAGTTAAGTGAGTTTTGCCCCATTTTATGACTCTTCTCACTACATTTGTTAGGTGAATCCCTGAAGTTCTTAAATTAGTAATGTGGTTTTTAAGTGAATCTGGTTTTCCCATTGACGTTGCTTTTCAGAAGGTCGCAAAAGGAGATCACATGACCCCAGGACACTGCAACCGTCGTAAATGTGAATCAGTTGTCAAGCATCTGAATGTAAATCACATGACCATGGGGATGCTGCAATGGTCATAAGTGTGAAAAATGGTCATAAGTCACTTTTTTCAGTACCGTTGTAACTTTGAATGGTCACTAAGCGAATTGTTGTAAGTCAAGGATTACCTGTACTATATAGGACATACTTCCCTGTAGGATGGAGAATTATATTAAGTGCTATTTTAATTCCACTTTTTAACAATAGTGTCACAATACAGCAAGGGCTTCATGACAGTGGCTTTGACACTTACCAAACCCTGACTGCCCAATTTCCAGCTGGTGTACAGTCACAGGGTGTTGGACTTGGGATGGAAGCTTCCATGTCCTTCTTTAGCCAGCTCACTACACTGGCAGGGTATCTGAGGACTGGCATGCATAAACATTGATGCAGGGAAAATCCAAAATTTTTCCCTACTGGTTCTGTGGGCGTGGCTTGGTGGGTGTGGCAGGGGAAGGATATTGCAAAATCTCCATTCCCATCCCACTCTGGGACCAGCCACAGGTGGTATTTGCCGGTTCTCCGAATTACTCAAAATTTCTGCTACCGGTTAGAACCTGCTGGATTTCACCCCTGCATTGATGGCATGGATCATGTTCTTTGGTGGTAATTGGATGTTGCTGTGTTCCTTGCCTCCTTATCGTGGTTCCCATGTAACTATGGGATACCAAGGAACTTGTAACTGGTCTGTATGTCTTCTATGTTGGTAGTTCCACCCCATTAGTCTTAACTACTTTCCCATTTTTGACTACGATCCGGCCACACTTCTCTAGTCCAAATGACATCATAACTGTAGATTGTATTGACTGGATCAGCAAATCGATATCTCGTTCACTCTTTGTGTTCAAGTTGATGTAATCCATGTATAGAAGGTGGCTGGTGGTAGTTCCACTCTTGAACTTGTATCCTTATCCAGTTCTTCTGATTATCTGGCCGAAGGGGTTTAACCCTATGCAGAATAGCAGTGGGGACAGTGCATCACCTTGGTACACAGGTAATGTTCGACTTACAACCATTTGTTTAGTGATCGTTCGAAGTTAGAATGGCACTGAAAAAAGTTACTGATGACTTTTCACATTTATGACTGTTGCAGCATTCCCAATGGTTACATGATCAAAATTTGGACACTTGGCAACTGGAATTTATTTATGGCACTTGCAAGATCCTGGGGGTCATATGATCACCTTTTCCGACCTTTTGACAAAGCTAGTGAGGAAGCCCGATTCATTTAACAACTGTGTTCCTAACTTAACAACAACTGTGGCAAGAAAGGTTATAAATTAGGGCAAAACGTAACAACTGTTTTGCTTAACAATGGAAATTTTGGGCTCAATTGTGGTCATAAATCAAGGATTACCTGTACACTCCATTTGATTACAAAAGCTGTAGCATATATCAGTTTATTGGTTTGAGTTATCATGGTAGTAGAAATTATTGTGATGGCTCTATTGGCATCTTATAGAATTCTACTGGATTTCTCTATTGAGCCTGAAGTTTAGTCTGTTGTTTTGTAACTGACCTGCTCACTAGGCTGATGACAGCCGTATTGTAAGCAGGCAAGTCTCAAGCAGTAATGCTGTGAGTCTGCTTATATGATTTCAAAATTTAAAAAATGTCCCTGCCCCAAAAAAGATAGTCCTAAAGGCTAATTTTTTCACCAAGTTCAAAAGATTGTCCAATATTGCATTCTTTGGTTACATTTTTACCATGAGATGAAAACAATTTTAATTTTAAGTTATGGGAACTTTTTAAAAAATATTTCAAATTATTTCACTAAGTATGAAAGAAATATATATTAAGAATGGGTACTCATATAATGAGAATTCATTTAGTAATTTTGTTGCTAGTGACTGGCCAATATGTAATGGGATTGTATATTATTTTAGAAGGAAAAATATAGTTTGAAAGATCTTCAACATTTAATCCCCCTCAAAATCTGCTTGCAACTCAGAGTATCAATCTGGAGTTATAATGGTATCAGACATTGTGTAATTACATTTGATTCCATATTTCTAACACATCCCATGTTTTATACCTTTTCTTAGTAGGAGAATATTTCTCAAGAAAAAGCCTGTACTTTACAGAACCCTATTTTGAACTATCCTGCAGGTGGCGTCATAGGGCTTCTTCTGAAAATTGCTCAAATTAAATTTGTATAGGTATCAGGGTAAAGAAAAGTAAATGAAGGTTGTAAATAAACTGGTAGTGTGTCCTGGTGGTTACTGTAACTGAAAACAGATAGGAAATAAATTTCACATTGTGCGAAAATAAAGAGTGGAAGTCGTTATGTGAATATACTGTATAACATCTGTATCTCTCTATTCTCAGATGGATTGTATATACCATTCTGATAGCGCTTCTTGAATGAAAGAGATGCTAAATTTTTTGAAGGGAAAAGATAAGAGGAGATTGACTACAGATCAGGGGTGGGTTCTACTTACCTTTACTACCGGTTCGCAATGGGAGCACAGATGCACATGCGCGGAAGCTTCTGCGCATGTGCCAATCACCCACGATGACATTGTGGCAGGTGGGCGGACTGCCGGTTTTACTACCGGTTCTATAGAACTGGACCGAACCGGGAGCAAGCCACCACTGCTACAGATGCCTTTAAGGCTGGAAGGGACCTCCCCCCCGCCGCCCCTGGAAGTCCCTTAAGTGCTGGAAGATAGCTATCATGTCACCCCTAATTCTTCTGTTTGTTAGGCTAGACATCCCTAGTTCCCTTAACTGTTCCTCTTATGATTTATTCTGCAGACCCTTTATCATCCTTGTTCTTCTCTGCACTCTTTCTAGGGTCTCAGCATCTTATTCGTATCACGGTGATCAGAATTGGACACAGTATTCTGAGTGTGGCCTTGCTAGGGCAGTATAAAGCAGTATTAGCACTTCTCATGATCTTAATGCTATTCTTCTGTTGATGTAGCTTACTTAGGACAGCATTGGCTTTTTTAACAGCTGCAGCACACTGCTGACTCATGTTTAAGTGGTGGTCCACTAGGAGACTTAATCCCTCTCATAATTGCTACTGTTGATCCAGGTACCACCTATTCTATACCTGTGCTTCTTCACCTTAATCTGAGATAGAGGGTGAGAAGGAGGATTCGTGAAAAATCCCTACCGTAATACAAAGACTGCTTCCAAATAAATTTCAAAGAAAAATCTAGCTTCTAGATTTGAGAAGAGGAACATACACAAGAAATCTGTTATATTATGGAAATTATCAATCGGTAAGCTGTTCTGCTTGTAGACCTAAAAGATATATGATATGACACTTTGACAGGATGTGGCTATTTTCTATATAGTTTGCCTCAGCCTATTTCCCCGCATTCATAAGGAAAGGGTTTGTGCAACTAGAACTACATAACTCTAGTGTACATAGCAGGGATTGGAATAGCCACTTTTATATGACCAAAGAAGAATAAATGAATTGCCAAGGAGAGAAAAAAAAAAG